CAATTCGTTATTCAGTTACCTACTGACTTGTTTTTATTTCGTAATTTCTACATCAATACACACGCAAATTTGGTTGCCTATAGTTGCAAATTTAAATTAAATTAACTTTTTCGGTTTCCGGGTGAATTAACATTTGCATTTTCCGGTTTCGTGGTCTCAAGTACTCGTAAGCGTAATTGTACACTCACCACATCCGACTTTCCGGTGATTTTCAGTGTGCAGTGTTGCACCGCACATAACCTCGAATGTGAGGTTGTCGAAACTGCAGCGCAGTCATTAACTTATTAACGTCTGCAGCTCACTACGAAACGTGCAAAGTGGACGAAAACTCTTCGGCACGTATACACATCAAGTGTCTAATTATGTCTGCGTATGAATAAAATCTTCAAACGAAAATCTCTAACAACACTTCACTTGAAACTCACCAGAGTGTGTTGTATGTGTATAAAGGGTTGCATATAGTTTTTCGGTAACAAGAATGCATATACTATGTGTATAAAAGGTTGCATATAGTTTTTCGCACACAAAAGTTGTGTGTTTGGGGTTGCATATATTTTTGATTTTTCATTTACGCGAATTATCGCATGTTTATTGCTTGTAATTCATTTCCACGTAAATAACCACGCAATATTCAGTTGTTTACAAGCGTCATCTGCGTCTACAGACGCAACTAATCGGCAAACCTGAGAGTGTGTCTGATAATTCGCGTTTTCCTTCCGTTTGCCAGCTCGTTTCGCTTGTTTTCGGCTGGTGGCAACTCTATAAACTCTATAAATCGCACTGGCGTCGGTGTAATTGCGTTAAATTTCGTGTTGCACTCGCAACATTCGTAATTTGTGCTAATGCAACCGGCGGCGTGACTCCCGGCACGTAATTTTCAGCCACCAACTTCGAAAATACGATTTCTAATCGTAATCGTAATCGTAATCACGAGTGATAAGTTTAGAATTGTGCGCAATACAATAAAACACACGATTTAAAACAATAAATATTTATTTTTATGTGCATTGGGTTGCCTAGAGTGTTTAGTAGGTCAAATGTTAGGTTAAGTTATCGACGGAGAGTATAGCGATATACCGATAAGCGTGATTCGTGTTAATGTGATCGATTGGACACGTTCGGCGTGCGCACGTCGCCCGTGCATTCGAGTGATATAAATTGATATCGTAATGCGGGCCAGATTCCACGAACACGATATGGCGCTTTCACGTACTGAAGTGATTACTGATCGCACGATTAGAGAATGCCATCCGAAAATTCACACAACTAGATCACCCGTATTACACCCAATATAGATATAGGTGCGTATGTGACCCAACGTACTCATACGCAAAATAAATACAATATGCAATAGGAAGTAGTATCACCGGAAGTTTACGAACTAGTCAATTCGACAGTCGTGTGTTGCGTTAACCGCAAATATACGAAATTAAATAACTCTCGGGAGGCGCAGAGGCGGCGCGCAGGGCGCAGGCAAACAGTAAATACGCCAAACAGTAAACAACAAGTTTGATTAATGTTAATTTCGATTAGTTTAAAGCCACAACTCCAGATTGAGTTCGCAAAGTTATACAAAACAAATAAAACGGGAATTATTCATCGAAAATTAATGCCAAGCAAGTTTTTTTGCGATTCTTTAAAACTTTTTTGGTAAATTAATGCTATTTTTGATTAGTTTTATTTATTTAAACTTAGTGTACTTTAAAGAGTATAGTTTAATCTGTATTTAGGTGAAGGAATTATTTATTTATCGGTATTTGTTTATAAATTATAACAATTTTTGTAAAAAAGTGCATAAAATTGTAAAATTGTAAATTTTACTTTAAATGTGGATAATTAATAATTGGATAATGATATAAATTTGAAATTAACAACATTTATTCTCTATTAAATTCTCTTTCATATGAAATCATACCCAATGTACTGGGTGTTTTCTAACATAAGTAAAATCATAAATAAACTTAAAAATTAATATTTACCTTGTTTTTCGATATAAAAATTTACTTTAATCCATGTTTTATGATAAACAATCACTTTCCGAATACTCTTACAGTTTATTCAACTTAAAAATTAAATTTTGAACGTTCCATAGCAATTAACCCGCGTTAATTAACGTCACACTGCGTTAGTTTTCATAGTTTTCAACTTCTTCGCCGCTAAAAATTCGAAAACTCGTTGATTCTAATCATTTGAAACTTATCTAACACTTTTTAACTTCCACTCGTCTGTACACACTTAGTAATTATTTAATTTACGACTTGTTTTTATTGCGAATTTCATCGGCGCACATAAAATTAACGTAAATTATTAAATTTTCACGTTTCACAAATCAAAATTAAAATCGCCGTGATTAATTACACGTAACTCGGCCGAAAATTAATTATCGCCATTAACGTTTTCGAAATTAGGAATTAATTCGTTGAATTTGTATCAAATTCGTTGGGCCTCACGCGCGCCGCGTCGATTTCGGTTTTAGATTTAAACGCGCGATTGATGATTGATGAACGTTGGCCGAGTGTAAGTTTAATGTGTAGTAAACACGAGCGAACTGGACGGATTTTACTCTTTACCGTTAGTGACTTTACGTTGTCCGTTGCGCTTTCGGTTGATTCAAGTCGACGGTGCGCACGCCGCGCGTGAACTGAAGAAAAAGCAAACGACGCGGCCGGCGACGTGAATTTCGGGGCCCGTGTGCCGACAGGTGATGGTAATAATGGTAAACTTGATGGTGAACGCGAAGAGGCGATGGCACACTAGCTTACTTTGGCAAAACGCAACGATTTCGGTTATTTTCATGCGGATAATAATGCAATGCATGAGTTGCGCTTTATCGAATGATGGTAATATTTAAATTTGAGATTAAAGGCGCGGAAATGATCTTAAACTATTAAAAAAAATCATGTGTGCAGTTCACACGCGGGAGTAGTGAAACATTCAGAACATTGAACACTTTATTAATCAGCAATTCGTTGGAATCGAGCGTTTTTAGATTGGAAGATATTCGCTATTGAAAATTGTCGATAAAAATTATTAAGCACCACCCTTTTGCCCATTTTTCTTATGAATTAAAATTTCATCTTGTAGATATCCATTTAACTAGCTAGATTAACTAGATTTAATTAGCTTATTTGATTAAGAATTTTCCGTAGATAAAGATGCTGAGATTCGTTCCTTTCTATCTCTTTTTGTTTACGAGATATTCGCAATTGAAGAAAATGGTCAAAAATTGAAAAATGTCACTTTTTAGCACTTTTGGTCGCATTTTTCGACCCTTTACTTTTTGAAATTAAATAATTTTAAATAGAGAATGTTTCGTAGATTAAGAATCTACGATTTGGCCTTCCTATCTCTTTTAGTTTACGAGATATTCACATTTTTAGCACTTTTAGTCGCAAATCGAAATTAAATAATTTTAAATCCCTAGCTAATAGAAAAAGTAATCTATCATAATCTACTTTCCGCTGGTTGCTATCTCTTTTAGTTTAGAAGATATTCGCGATCGAAAATCGTCGAAAAAAGAATCAAGCACCCCCCCTTGCCCATTTTTTTCTTATGACTCAAAATTTCATCTCTCAAATTTCGATTTTAACTAGTCTATCTTGTAGAGAATGTTTCGTAGATTAAGAATCTACGATTTGGCCTTCCTATCTCTTTTACTTTACGAGATATTCACAATTAAAGAAAATGGTCAAAAATTGAAAAATGTCATTTTTTAGCACTTTTAGTCGCATTTTTCGACCTTTTACTCTTTGAAATTAATTAATTTTAAATTCCTAGCTAATAGAGAATAATGTTATCTATCATAATCTACTTTCCGCTGGTTGCTATCTCTTTTAGTTTAGAAGATATTCGCGATCGAAAATCGTCGAAAAAAAGAATCAAGCACCCCCCCTTGCCCATTTTTTTCTTATGACTCAAAATTTCATCTCTCAAATTTCGATTTTAACTAGTCTATCTTGTAGAGAATGTTTCGTAGATTAAGAATCTACGATTTGGCCTTCCTATCTCTTTTAGTTTACGAGATATTCACAATTAAAGAAAATGGTCAAAAATTGAAAAATGTCATTTTTTAGCACTTTTAGTCGCATTTTTCGACCTTTTACTCTTTGAAATTAATTAATTTTAAATTCCTAGCTAATAGAGAATAATGTAATCTATCATAATCTACTTTCCGCTGGTTGCTATCTCTTTTAGTTTAGAAGATATTCGCGATCGAAAATCGTCGAAAAAAAGTATCAAGCACCCCCCCTTGCCCATTTTTTTCTTATGACTCAAAATTTCATCTCTCAAATTTCGATTTTAACTAGTCTATCTTGTAGAGAATGTTTCGTAGATTAAGAATCTACGATTTGGCCTTCCTATCTCTTTTACTTTACGAGATATTCACAATTAAAGAAAATGGTCAAAAATTGAAAAATGTCATTTTTTAGCACTTTTAGTCGCATTTTTCGACCTTTTACTCTTTGAAATTAATTAATTTTAAATCCCTAGCTAATAGAGAATAATGTAATCTATCATAATCTACTTTCCGCTGGTTGCTATCTCTTTTAGTTTAGAAGATATTCGCGATCGAAAATCGTCGAAAAAAAGAATCAAGCACCCCCCCTTGCCCATTTTTTTCTTAAGAGTGAAAATTTCATCTCTTAGATTTTGATTTTAACTAGCCTATCTTGTAGAGCATGTTTCGTAGATTAAGAATCTGCGATTTGACTTTTCTATCTCTTTTAGTTTACGAGATATTCGCAATTGTAAAAAAATCATGTGTGCAGTTCACACACGGTAGAAGTAAAACCTACACTAAATTAAAATACTAAATATTAAATTAAAAAGTAGATTACGTATTCATTATCGAAGAAAATCTAAAAAATCTAAAAATATAAACAATTTATAATAAAACATTACTTTACTGCCTTCTAGTAGCGATGTTAGTAACTTTATTGTTTCGATTCAGTTTCCTACCGTGCGTGATGGTGTATAATATGTTGCATACTTCAAATCAGCAGACTAGTGTTATTAGTGTACTTCTTTTTTAATATTAACACTAAATATCAAAATATTTATTAATAACTAAATAATTTTAACCTAATGCAAGATAAATTTACCTATAATGGAAGTAGTGACTATTTTAGACAGTGATAAAATATGTAGGACTTGTTTGAATCAATGTACAGAACAAAATATGCAGAATATATTCAACCATGCAATTTCTATCAAAAACACTTCTTATGAAGCTGTTGCAATTAACAGTATGATTATGTTATGTGCATCTGTTCAGGTATTAGTTAATTAATCACTTTAAACTAATAGATCATCGAAAATATATGTTTTTTGCGTTTTAGGTGACAGAATCAGATGGTTTACCTCCACACATTTGCTTGCAGTGTGTAGATTTTATAACAACAGCTTATTCTTTTAAACAAATGTGTGAAAGGTCTGATAGTACTTTAAGACAACTATTATCTACTGAAGATATTAATTATATAGACGATACAAAGTTAAATTTTGAAAGTGAGTCTCAAATTGTCCAAACCGATAAAATTGAATCAGAAAAATCAGAAATTTTAATTTATGAAACAAAATTACAAGAAAATCATGATGAAAACATAGAAAAAGGTTCAACAAATGAAAATTTACCATTAGAAGACACTGAAGGTCCTGTTTTTCTGTGTGAACAATGCACTTTATGTTTTACATCATTACTAGACTTAAAAAACCACAAAAAACTACATCATACAGGATTATTGAGCTGTCAAACATGCAAACAAGTATTTTCATCAGCAAGTACATTAAGTAGACATTCCAAGGTAAATTTTTATAGCAATAAATAATTTTATACTAAATAAGTCATTTTAGGTGCATGCCAATAAAAGAAGATACATCTGCAGTGAATGTGGCAAAGCATTTGCACGAAACGACGATCTCACTCGACATATCCGCACACACACCGGTGAAAAACCCTACAAATGCAAAATATGTGATAAAAGCTTCTCGCAATCATTCCGTTTGTTAGAACACACCAGAGCACACGCTAATGAGAAAGCATACGTGTGTGCAACATGCGGAAAAACGTTTTCTCGATACACTTCGTTAGCAGCTCATAATAAAACGCACAGTGGAATAAAATCACATCAATGTACGATTTGTGGTAAGGCTTTAGCCGGGGCGCAGTCACTGGCATTGCATATGAAGATCCACGAAGGTATTAAGGATCATAAATGTGAATATTGTGGTAAAGGTTTCTATACTCTATCTAATATGATTATTCATCGAAGAATACACACTGGTGAGAAACCTTATGGATGTAAAGAGTGTGGAAAGTGTTTTTCTGATGCGTCGAGACTCACAGTACATTCTAGGATACACACAGGTGTAAAACCATATAGATGTGAGGTTTGTAAGCGCGGATTTGTAAGTTCTTCTCAGTTGAAGAAACATTCGAGGATTCATACGGGTGAGAAGCCGTATAAGTGCACAATGTGTGTTAAAGCATTCCTGCGATCACATGATTTGAGAATTCATATCAAAACACATACTGGTAGGTGAATTCAATGTTTTTATGTGGTTTGTTAAAGGAATTTATTGTAGATGATCGAAGTTACAAGTGTAACGTGTGTAATAAAGGTTTTTATCAATCCTCTACGCTAAAAGTTCACATGAGGATACACACGGGGGAAAAACCATACAAGTGCAATATTTGTGAGAAGAAATTCTCCCAAACTGGGTCTTTGTATACACATATGAAGACACATGATGTTTTGAGTGTGATTGAAGCTGAAAATGGTGTGAATTCAGTGAGTTCTTTGAATATTATTGGTAAAGATGACAGTATAGAAGTTTTTACTGAGTAAAGTGATTAAAACAATTTAATTGTGTATAAATTGTTTAAAAATGAAATATATCTTATATTTATTAATTGTTTATGATTGAAAACAATGTTTAAAACATGTTTTTAGATGTTTAATTACGGTTTGAAGCAAGTTTTATTGCATGGGTTGTTTGAGTGTGATGTTGGTTGCCTACCATGAAACATTAAAACTTGATTTGTTTAAAATCAAATCAATTTTAATTATATACACGACGAATCTTTAGATGTATTTATTGCTGTTAATAGTGTTATGTAACTTACCAAACTATATAAGCTGTTTGTGATGCTTTCGGCAAGTATTGGCATGCATAATCTTGGCATTTGTTTTGTTTGAATAATGCATTAGCAAATTTGCTCAACTATTTACAATTAGTTGCACACATAAATCTCGCGCTGGCGGCGTGAAAGCCAGCCTAAAATCACCCGTCGGGCCACCTAAAGCATTCCGCGCTTGGCTCGAATATTTTGAGTTGATTGTCAAAGCAAACGGGCAATAAACGTCAGCGCAACACAAACTCGCCGCCGCCACCGCCGCCCGACTTGCCATTAATGCAACGAAATGCAAGCGTACGGGCCAATTACGGCGCGCTTTACGACCGGGCTAAATCCGGACGTTTTTAATGAACAAACGAAGAAAATTTCAGCCAAAAATTCACTCAAGCCAAAATTTTTACTCTGCCACTCAAAATGGCAATGCATAACACAAAATAAAGCAAAATAAACGCCATTTTGTAGTTGTAATGGTAAACGAAATGAAAGTTTGTAAATTATGAGCTGCTTTAAGACGGAAATGATAAAACATGAAATATGGAAAAGCGCAGCCGGTGGAAGACGAATCGTCGCAGTCGTCACTCGCGCATTTGAAGTTTGGTCACGCTGCGTTTGCGGCCCTCTTGTGCCGTTTTACTTTACGCACTTTACGCGCGTTTTTCTGGCGCACGCGTCATCTTCGAACATCCAAACGGTCACAAGCGTCGTAACCGCGACTAACGACAACCGCAACGACATCAGGAAGGTATAAATCGGCCCAGTGACTTTAACAATCCTCTTCGAACACGCATCTCCTGCGCCCATCTCGCTTCATCCCGCGTATCAATCAGCAAGCGTAATTTTTAATAGCGTACAATAAAATTAATCAGTCGACAGACGCTGGCCGCCATCTTGGTATATATCGTAACTCCTTTGATTTTAGTTTACGAGACAATATAACAATGGCCGCGCTTGTTTCTGCGCAAGTTTCACGAACGACGAGCAAATGAAGCGAGTGAGCAAACATAACGTTGTTTATTGTGTAAAAGACGCTCGCCGCATGTCGGCGAGAGACAAAACTCCGCTGCACAAATAAACAAACAAGTTTTGTTTAGATTACGTACTTACTAGATGATCTTCAGAATAAACTCTGTCATTTTTCACTAAAATTTGTAGGGAAATAAATGGTATTTATTGTGTTAACACTCGTTTTATTGTTTGACTTACGGTTTTATTAGTGGGACTGTGGGACTGGTGGAAACTGACGTTTTGTTTGTTATTTCGGATTTTCCATTAACCAGTTCATCTTCTTTTTTAGGAGGAAACATACGATGCTAATATGAACACATTCAGTCATAACTCTTTTGATTTTTGATTGAGTTTTGTATATAGGCAACCCAATATACAGGAAAATGACATTTTAACCTTAAAAAAGTAAAATTTTCAAATTTACAGTTAAAAATGAGATAAAAATAGATTAATACTGATTGTAACATGTGTAATTTAGTATGTTTTGTAAAATGTTTACATTTGCCGATAATTTTCTCATGATGCACGCAGTGTTTTGTGTTTAACACATTAATGCATCGATTATATTATGCGCACGCGTAAATAAATGCATAAATGCACCGCAACGACGGTTATAAATCGTAAACCTAACCTAAAACGCCGAAAAATGATGAATGAATGCATGACAACGATCTCAGCACCTCGGCTCGTCGCATTTCGAAGCGTCGTCGTCGTTTTCGTCGTGGTTGGAGGTCGAAAATATTTCAAACTCCCGCTGCGCGCACAATTTTGTTCTCTCCTATACAAAATATTCTCCCTTGTCTGGCAGTAGTGCTTGTTAGTTGGATTTTTAATTTTAAATTCGCCGTTATTTCTATTTTTAGCCGAAACTGACTTGTATCTTTTGTTTTACGCTGTAAAAAAACTTGTCACTGGTAGTTAAGTGTTTTTTTGTGTGTCGCGTCGTCGAGACACTGCTATTAAAAGTTTGGAACAATTAAAAATACGCGGCTCTAATTAAGTTTAAATTTAGAGCTGAATTTTCAGCGTGCGAAATTTCTAAATGTATAAACACACCTGAATAAGCAAATTATGTGCGTTGGGGTTAGAAAACACAACAAAAAACAATCTGGTATCAAAGAGATGTGCGGCGACGACGACCGGAAGTCGATTTATATTTTTCAGAACACAATATTAGTCTTTCCAGTCTTACTTCGCCATTAATTTGCGCTCGAGCGTTTCACAAGCGGCGTGCATCGTGCATATTTTGTCTTTTTCTTCATATTTCGCTCGAGGGATCTTTTGGGGGCTTTCACGGTCGCCGTCGGCACTTACAGAAAGAATAAGAGTTGTTTCCTTTTGCTACTTTGGCAATGGCCCCACTTGAAAAAGAAAAAATACAATAAGTTGACTTTTAACTTGTAACAGATTCAAGAGTTTTTTTTTTCATTTTGAGTTTTTGAAGTTAAAATTACAATTAAATTTTATATCTGTGTATTTTAAAATATTGTTACTAAAAATGTCTGCTTTGTCGTTGAAGACATCCGGTTGTCCGAATTTTATTGCGTCCACATTGTGTGTTGAGACATTTGTGAGTTTTTTGTGAAAATGATTGAAAAATGTTTTTCCGCCGGCGTTCGCGGTGGCAGAGGAAATGTTACATTTAAAAATAAAGAATTCGGAATTAATAATACGAGATATATTGCGGTAGATGGCTGATTTCGTGTAATAACTTCTTTTTTCTTTGGAAAACTGCCAAAATCATAACTTAAAAAATTTTGAACTTTTGTTTTGTGAATATCTTTTAAACCACTCAACCGATTATTACCAAATTTTGTAGGTATATAAATAATTTAATAATAAAACAATATCAAGAAAGAAAATATAAATATTTTACTCCAGAAAAAAGTTATAGACAAAAAACTATGAAAATACTAAATCCGTTAATATATGCAACCAAACGTGCATTTTTTTTACATTTAAAATGGCGTGGATTTAAATTTATGCTAACTGTTTGTGTGTTTCATGTGTTATGTATAGTTTAATACCATTTTGAATACATTTATGAATGTTTGCTTCACGGTGGCTTATTGTGCGGTGCCACCGCGTCGCGAGTCAAACAAAACCATCAAATGAAAGCCGCGTGAAATTCGAGATTAACAGCCTGCGCGAATCGCCCGCCACAAAAATCCTTTATACCGACGCGCCGATTATGACAAACATTTTAGTCTCGCTTCTGGTTGTGCGCTCCACGCCGCGATTTGCCACGTTTTTCAACATCAAATGACGAAATATCAAACGGAGGACTTAATTTACTCAATTTACATCCAATTAAAATGTTATTTCAAGGCGTTTCAAAGCTTTTTATTCAATATTTATAATTTTCTATAAAATCTTCTTAAAATGAACTTTCTAATAATATTTTATTGATTATTCTACGATTTTATTCAACTGAATTATAATTTTTTTTTAATTTTTAGTTTTTTTCGAATTTTTTCTTCTTTTTTTCTTCTTTTCATGTTTGAATACTTAGTGATTTTGTTTGTACTGTTGACAATATTGAACTGACATTAATGACCACCAATCCAAACTCTTCCGAGGATATTTAGCAACGTGTTTAGCTGTTTAGCAGCTAAATAAAATCGAAAATCGAGTTGAAAATAGTTTTTCGTAGCGCGATGATAAATGTCGTTCGGTCGCGGCTAGAAAAACCGAAACCTGAAAACTGAAAACTTCGAATGTTGTTTCGCACCGTCGAGTTTGGAATTGATGTTGGCGTTTCGGTGCGTGAGCCTGCCGAGAGCTTTCCGAAATGCTTGTCAGAATCGCAACCGCCGCTACCTTTCAACTCTGGAAGCACCACGAAGCATTGGGGCTTGACGTGAACCTGGACAGTGAAAAGTTATCGCTATCATGGGTATCACATAACATTAGTACATTAGTCAGACCTGGCTAAGGAAATTAGACATTTCGTTTCGAAATTTTGCTGACACAGGCAAAGCAGCGGTCGGCAACGGTTGAAAAACAACGTTTTTACTTAGTTATTTTTTAATAACTTCAAAACGGTTGAAGATATTTCCATATTTCTTTTATGAGTTTATTCTATATTAAATTCTGCATCGGATAATATTTATTTTTATAAAAATTTCTTATAATTTTAATAATTATGACCAAAATGATAGAAAATTTTAATTTATTTTTTGGAATTTTTTAGTTTTTTGTTAATAACATTTAAATAAATAATTATATATTTAAAATGACTCCAGGTATCTATTGGGATTATAATTGTACATTAGTATGTCAAATTTGGCAATAATCAGATGAATAGTTTAGGAGTTATGCACAAAAACGCAAAATAAAATACTTTTGTCAAGTTGCGATGTCATGATAATTATGCAGTTATTCTTTAATAACTTTTAAGATAATTAAGTTTTCAAGGTAATTCTTTCACCAATGAATTAAGAATCAAATTATGCATCGTACTTGATAAATATTTGGTCATTTTATGAAATTTGTACTGAGTAATCAACAAAAATAACAAATATTTCAAAAAAATAATTTAATTAACTTCTTTTTACTGTAATTTTTAAAATATAATTTCTTTAGTATATTTTTAAAAACAAATAGTCGCAGAATTTAATAGAAAATTTACTCCTGAAAGAATTTTATGTCTATCATTTTTTAGTTTTCAACTTATTCAACAAAAACTCAAAAAAACTCAAAAAATAAATAAAAACATTCATAATAAGCAAAAAATATAATATTTTCTCAATGTACAAATACAATAAATCATTAATTAAGTAATGAAGTACTCACTATCATTGATAATACAATAACAAAAAAATAAATACACATTTCAATAATAATAAATGTTCAATAAATTTACAATTCACAATAAATCTTCTAAAATTACAAAAAATGTACAAAAAATGGCACGATTGGAATGAATTACATAAACCTAACAATCTCAAGAATTAAATTCATCATCATATCATCATCTACATCATCTACAACAATAATTATTGTGAATTCCAATCACCTTCCATCCGCCACACACTAAACGCCCGACTCAGCTTCTCATGCGCCGTAAACGAGCAAACATTCCCACAAACATCCTTATCAAACAACTCCGCATCACCACTATGCCCATCCGCCAGCGTATGATTCAAAAAGTCAATGTATCTTGTCGCCAGTTTCAACGTCTGAATCTTGGAGAGTTTATCCGACGGCAAAGTCGGAATACTTTTTCTCAGAGACGCGAAAGCATCATTCAAACTTTGCGTACGCTGACGTTCCCGGACGTTCGCATTCACCCTCTGCGTCTGCAACTCTTCAAAACTCTGCGGAGACTTCCTCCTAGCCTTGGCCCTTGAATTTTCATCTGTCGAGGTGCTTTCCGTGTCCGAATCACACGTTTTCCGCTTTCTGCGACGATTTGTCTTGAGTATTCTATGTCCCTCAAGGTCACACCCGTTCAAAACATTATTGTTTATGTTATTATGATTGTTATTGTTGTTGTTGTTGATGATGTAGTTTTGTTCATCATCCGCGTCTTCGACTTCCACTTTAATATAGGGGACTTCTTGGTGTAGTTTTGTTTTGTATCCATTGTTGAGGTTAGGTTGTCCTGGACCAGGACTATACTCATCTGATAATGGCGGTGATTGTTGATACAGATGTCTGTCTTCTTCGTAGTATCGCAATCCGTATTGGTCACTGGGTTCGCCTTTTTGATAATTGTTAAAGTTTTGTATTTGTAACGGAATATATTTTGTTAGGTTAATCGCATTTCCGGGGGTATCGCGGTAGTGATTATTGGTTAGGTCTGTTAAGCGTGTTGGTGAGTAATCGCCGCCAGGATAATCAATTTGATGTCCTTGATGTGGATGATGATGAAGTTGTTGTTGTAATGGGGATGATTGTGGACTGTGATGCAGCATGTTGAGGTGCACATGTTGATTGTTGTCAACTAAATCGTACATGATTGTTGTTGTTGTTGATGTTTGATGCACTGGGTTTATAAGATGCACTTATTTTGTAGTTTGTGTTGCGGAAACATAAAATCCACTCTCGGTTGGGTGTGATGCACGAGCAGCGCGACGATTTGAAAATGTGATGAGATGTGTTTCGGGCGATACTTAAGTCGGGAGTCGGACGTGAGTAGAGAAAGGCGGGTCGTGTAGCCAATGGCGCGCGAGAATGGGATGTACGGTGGTGCTGCGCATGCGTGAGTTACTTAGGCGCATCCCGCCGTGAGGTATGGTTGTATCTCTTTCTTGGATATGATTTTCATTCAACTACACGGAGGTTCATTCACAATTTAAACAAAGGAATTAGTTTTTTTAGTTTGATTTTGGTGTAATAGTGAATTTTAACGGTCTAAAGATGGTAAAAATGTGTTTTTGTTTGGTTATTTATTAATAATTCATAAAGTGTAAGATGTAGATTAATTGTTTAAACGAAAATGGATTCTGTGTTAAATTTTCTATTAAGTACAGTACAGTTTGGTCTTAAAGCTGTTTTATTCATAAAATTATAAGCAATTAATTATTAGTTTTGTAGAAATTTTTGTTTAAATTTATTTTTGTTGTTTATTATACCTAATTTTTACAAAATAACAAAATATTTTATAGAAATAAATGGAGAATTTATTACTGAATCAATTAGTGAAAGAATCATAAATTTACGACGATTAATTTAAAAGTTATAAACAAAAAACTACAAATAATCCTGACTAAAGTTTTTTAGACCGGTAAAGTACACATGACGCCAACCAAAAAATTAATTATTTTATTTTTGTTTTTTGCAAATATCTTTTAAACTACTCTTCCGATTTTAACCAAATTTTGCACAGTTATAAACAAACACTTAGAAAAATATTATCACTAAAGAAAAGTTTAATTTTCTTTGTTTTTAATGAGATATAAACAAAAAACTATTTGAAAACACATGTTTTTTAAACTTGCCATAAAAAAACTTGTATATAATTGGTCATCGATTTAATATACCCACAAAAACGTGTTGTGATGAATCTTCCCACGTCCTACAGGAACCCAGCACATGTGTTGGCAAAAGTTTCATTTCAAAGTTTTTATTGCGCCGGCCACATTCTTCTTCTAGTCGCTCACTCACCCAAACTTTAAAACTCTACTTTGCGTGCGACTTTTGTTTAATTTACTACGGCAGCAACAAAGACAGACAGTAGATGAGTCGAGGAGAAGACATATCCTCCGCATCTGGCATGCAGACGCGCGCTACGCCCGCGCTTATTAAAAATTCGCCGCCCGGACTTTAGGGGCACGCACCGACACGAAAATCATCAATGGCGATGCGGAACACTTGCAAGAGGTCTTCGTGAAGATGCAGATGAAGCGGTCATAAAGCAAGGCGCGTTCGACGATCGGATATTCCGAAACGTCGATCGACAGATGTGGAGAAGAGACACATGGTCGAAATCAGAGTTTATTAGATGCGGAATCGTAGTGCAAGATGTTTTTATTTTTATTATGTTATTGCAATTGGGAATTTTTCGGGATGGACAGAAGGTGGACACATTTGGTGTACACATTTGGCGGACACCTTGTCGTAATCAAAGAAAATTATAATTTCTCACGTAGAAATCATGTGAAAATGAATAAATCACGTGCGCTATATTGGTTGCATAAATATACACGTTTTTTTATAGTTTTTTGTTTATATTTCTTTAAAAACAATTTAAATTTTTGGTTTCTTTAGTAAAAATTATTTATTTTGTCTTTGTTTATAAATATGCAAAATTTGGTTATAATCGGTTGTGTAGTTTAAAAGATATTTGCAAAAAACAAAAATAAAATGATTAAATTTTGCTAGTTGGTGTCATATGTACTTTACCGGTCTAAAAAACTTTAATCATGATTTTTTGTGGTTTTTTATCGATAACTTCTAAATTAATTGGCTTAAACTTATAATTCTTTTACGAATAGATTCAGAAATAAATTCTGCATCGATCTATGTAAAATATTTAGTAATTTTATAAAAATTACATATAATAAACCAAAAAAATAAAATTAAACCAAAATTACTATAAAAATAATAAATTTAATGGAACATATTTTTATTTACCTATATTTCGGCATTGAAATTATGAATATTTTAAAAAGAACACAAAGTTGGTAACATTTGGTGGCCAGATTGTCATAAACAATCTGTTTTCACGTTTCTCACGTTAAAATCACGTAAAAATCACGTGCGTAACTTTGGTTGCATATTTATGTTCATAAAATATGACAGTAGAATCTGCGTTTATGTTTTTAACGTAAAATTGTTTTGATATCGATTAAATTAATAGAATTACAATAATGATAAGTTGCATTACGATTATTTATTACACCTAAGTCGGAAAGTCCACTTAGAAAGGGATTTCCCTCTTCAGCTACCTATTTATGGCGGTTTACACCGGGGATAACACCAACGCTGTTTAACGCTGTTAAACCCGCTGGGGGTGCCAAAGGCATATTGTTATAAAATCTATAGGATTTTCCATGTTTACCAGTGATTTGCGTAATATTATAATGTTATTACATAAAAATCACACAAAACATCCAACAAAAATCATCAAATCACTTATTTTAACCTCAAAAATTAAAATTTTATTGAAATCTTCAAAACAAATTATTTTACTATAAAATTCATGGGTTTTTCAAACATTTCGGAATCTCCTCTCTCATTAATTCACATCGACGTCTTCACAGTCCGACAGTATGATTGCGGGCAGTTTGGGAGCAGTTTTACAACACGCACTAATCTTGTTTACAATAAACATCTGCCCTCCAAACGTGCGCCCAGCCATCCGAAGGTATTGCGGGCCTTTCCCCACTTTCCAACCAATTTAAACCTGAAAATTCGCTTGCAAACCTTGTAATCCGCAAAAATCAACTCTAATCCAATCTAAACACATCCGAACTGACTTAAGTCACTCCATCTTCCACGTATTAGTGACGTCAGTGTATATCCGGTTGAATATTTGCGTGGTTGTCGAATAAAAACATTTCACATGACTTAAGTCACATAAAATTTAACGATATGTACTAGTAGGCGAGTTGTATGGACCCCCGAGAGACAGATGAGGATGTGATGCAGCTGCTTAATTAACTTTTTGTTTATTAGCCCAGCGAACGCGCATTAATTAACTTGCGGTGCGCGCGCGTAAACCAAAGCCTTTCACGTTTTAAGATTTAAGTCAGTCTTAAAGTGACTTTAAACTGTGCGCGTCGCGTAAACGTCGATGCGACTTTCTCACGACGTTTGGATGTGTGTAATTCGATGATGCGACGTGGGGAGACATTTTTTTTTTTTGCTTTTGGTTTTTGAGTTGGATATGTTGGAATGGAGAGCAGTTGGTGCGTTAAGCTGCGTGTTGGTTTTTTAAACGCGTGTCTGCGTCATTCTTTGTTTGGTGACGTTATTACGCCCCGTGTGAAGCTGTCATCTTGCGACGCCATTATTCGAGCGTGAAGAAGCAGCCAGTTGGCTTTTTAAGTCTTCAAGGGGGTGCAAAACGGCAAAAAACAGAAAAAAAAACAGAAGAAAAAAAAAACAAGAAAATACTTAGTTTTTTTCAACTGACTTAAGTCACTTTATAATTTTATTAAAATTCAATAATTTTAGGTTAATTTTCTTTAACTGACTTAAGTCACTTCAATAAAAATTAAATTTTTAAGTTTAAATCATCATGAGAACAATTTTTAGGTTATAATTTTATTAAAAATCAATAATTTTAGGTTAATTTTCTTCAACTGACTTAAGTCACTTCAATAAAAATTAAATTTTTAAGTTTAAATCATCATCAGAACAATTTTTAGGTTATAATTTTATTAAAAATCAATAATTTTAGGTTAATTTTTTCAACTGACTTAAGTCACTTCAATAAAAATTAAATTTTTAAGTTTAAATCATCAGAACAATTTTTAGGTAATAATTTTATTAAAAATCAATAATTTTAGGTTAATTTTCTTCAACTGACTTAAGTCGTGAAATAAGTCGAAAACAATTTTTCGGTTATAAAATCATAAAAATTGATAATTTTAGGTTATGATTTAAGTCAATTTAATTAAAATTCCATTTTTTTCAACTTAAGTCAATTTATAGGTATTTATAGGTCTATCTCCATGAAAAACATGTTTTTATCCAATAAGATTCCATTTTCTTCCATTTTATTACCTGCCATGCCTTCCAATCACATTACAACAGGTGCACAAAGGCATTATACTCTTAACTCACCATCCTCACCCAATCACCACTTCCCACCTTCAAAAAAACATGGCGTCACCCCATAAAGATAAATTTTCCACGCCACATGCTTAAATCATTTTAATTTGATTAATGACTTTCTGCATTCTCTTCCTCCGCCTGTTCTAATTTAAAATCCACCTCAGATTGATCAACATCCGAGATTTTACTTAAGTCATTTTCGCTTGTTACCATAAACGTCCGGTGAGATTCTCTGGTATCAAAATGTACCTGTGACAAGAGGCTTTGAACAGTTGACAATTCTCTGTCACGAATTACTGCTTCTTCTCTATGAAGGCAGGAATCACTGCTTTCTTCAGTGACAGCTTGGTAGCTGGATGAATCACTGGATTCTTCTGCTAGTAAAGCTAAACGTTCTCTTTCCGCGCATAATTTTCGTAGTTTTTCTTCATCGTATGGTGGAGGTTCGTACATTGGGTCATATGCGCATGGGCTACTGTCAACACGATAGTGTTCGAAGTTTACTTTGGCGTTATGTGCACAATAGGGTCCAGGGACTTTATTGCGGCGGATTTTTAACTCGCGGACTTCATCTTGTTCGAGTTGGTTGTATACGTAGTGTTTGTAGTTGTTTGATTGGTGTTTTGCGACTTGTACGCCCTCTGGTGTACGGAAAAGTTGAAAATCTACGTGGGATTGTTCATAGACTCCAGCCATGAACTGTCTTTCTAATACCTAATAATTTAAACAGATTTAATAGTTGTTTATTGAGGTAATGTTGTGTTTTGGGTTGCCTACGTACTTCTTTTGATAAAGGACCAATATCATTACCAAAAATGTATAATATTCGTATTCTTTGGTACTTTTTAATGCTTAGAAGGATTTCACATAAGCTTTGGTCGGTTATTTGGTTTTACTTAAGTCTATCAAGCGTAACTTTGAATATGGTAGACCAAAACTCAACGCTCTACAAATTAATCATTAAAATTTAATTTAAAAGTTATTAAAGTTGGTTTTTGATTACCTGGCACCAATTTCTCCAATTGAATTACCTGCTAATACAATTCCTTGCAGTAGAGGTTCAGTCATAAAATATTCCGCGAGTTTTTCGGCGCCATAATTACTGATTTTATTATAACCTAAATCTAAAAGCATTAATGTTTTGTTTTCGATTAATCCACCCATCATTGCTTCGATTGCGTGGCCATCTATGCCACATTTTTGTAAATGTATTTCTTTTAAAGTTCTATTTTGCTGTTGAAAAATATTTTAGACAAATTAATTATTTAAGGTTTTAAAAATAGGTTAGGTTTATCTTACTGAAAACATAGTGCCTAGATGCTCCGCTAAGAACCCTGGATCTGGTTGATTAACTTTTGAAAGTGGAATAATATCAGATAGATCTAAATTTTTTAGACTTTTATTCATTCCGCCATCTCGTCTAATGGCCGCCATGAAATGCGGGAAACTTGCGACTGTTTGACCCGTAGCTCCCAGATCTAATTGTTCTATTGTGTTGTTTTTTGTTAGTAGAACGTAGAAATCATCTCCACACTATTTAAACAAATTATATTAATGATTAACAAATACTATTACGTTTAGTAAATACTTCTGAACCAAATTTATTTCCAGTCAACTTTAAAGTCTTCAATTTTAACGTTTTCCAACATTTACATAGTGAATGAATGCCTCCACAACGAATATCACATCCTGTTAGATTTAAAAACTCTACAGAATTCTCCTGGGAAAGAAAACCATCGCATAAGATTTTCATTCCGCCATTATCAATGCGATTATAAGACAAATCAAGTTTAACAAGTGTGGGATATTTCTTAACAAATGTTGTTATCAAGGGCATATCGTCTGTTTCAACACGTCTCCTACAAAAATCATAATTGTGTAATATTGGTTGCCTAATTTATGTTTTATTTGTAAGGTTAGCTTCAGGATTAAATTAGGTTATTACCGTATGCGATATTGTAGTTCATTGCCTTTTAATCGCAAATTCCTTGTTCCATCACTATTTTTCTCAATGAAAAGCGATAAAAATCTTCTGTTAATTCTCTGCGTTGTTCTTTGTATTTCGGGTCGCACATGCAATATACATCATTAATATTGGCTTTACGTGAATATTTATGAGCAAAAATGCTTAAATTCATTGTAAATCTATTTTTATTCACTGATTCAACATATAAATCAATGTAAATTATTGTAAATGTCAAAGATTACGTCAAAATTGATTAAAAATCCTTAAAACACGCTGATTTATCATAATTTGTTGCATAAAGTGAGAAAAGGTCAAAGAAACATGAAATAATTGTCCAAAGTATGAAAACGTGCTACAAATAGTCATAACATCACATAATAAATGTACACGAGTCAAAAATATTTATTACATAACTCATCAATTTATTTACATCTACAAAATTAAATTATTCCATGCAAATTCTTACAATACATTATAGATTCATTGATAAATATATTCCATCTGCTCTGTGACAATAGTACTGGTCTAAAAATAAAATTTTGGAACGTTATCACAACCAATAATTAAATTTCTCATTCGTTCTCTTTCTTTCTTTCTTTTTTCTTCGCTAAATATGTTTGAGAGGTTAAAAGATATTATTTTGTATCCATTGCAGAGCTGCCTTGACATTAGTCAATTTAGCTCGCACTAAGAACGAAGAAATTAGGAGATATTCAGTATAAGTACGTCGGCCCTTGCTGTAGTAGCTCGAATTCGAAGTCGATTCAAATTGAGTTCGTCCAGTATCATACGTTGGGTATTCATTACGTTCTGTGTCTGATTGTGGGTTACTCAAGCGTCCCTCGCAGAGCACTTTGGTAGTTAAACAAAGCAGCCATTGAAGAATCTGCAAAATTAATAATTTTGTTTCAAATAAAAAAAAATAGTTGATTTAGTAGATGAATTATTGCATTTTAGTCTGTAATTTTAAAAAATAAAGCAAAAATTCTTTGATTTTCTTGTGATGTCAAAAGAGTGATTGGTGTGTTGCCTATCTAAGCAGTTTTCCGAATTACTTCAGTTTTTTTTAAATAAAATAATAATAAATACAAACAATTTACCTCATTACTGGTAGGTAGCTTCACCATGGGTTTCAACCATGCGCTTGGTGCCCACAGATACAATTGGCAAACATTCGCCGCAACTTCCGCATCCAATCTCCTGTTAGGATTACGTTTCAAGAGATTCGCTACCAAAGCATGAAAAACATCCGGGATTTCATTATCCTCACCACCTAGACGTGGTAATTCATCCTCTTGATAATTCCCAGCGCGTAATTTACCATTCAGACCATCATAAAACGGATTATTCATGCCAAAAATCTCATATGCAATTGTAGCAGCCGCCCACAGATCACTCTTGTTATAATTCAACAGACTAAACGTTCCCGGAGTCTGATTAATAATCTCCGGCGCCATTAAAGCAGTATTTCCACCTTTATCAACCTCATATGAGTTGTAATTAACAGTTAGGTGTTGATTTTGATCCGCTAGGCAACAACCAAAGTCAGAAATGACCAAAATCGGCGCATCTTTTTCAGAAATATCAAGGAGTAAATTATCTGCTTTCAAATCACGGTGAGCTATGCCATGCGCACATAAATGTGCGACGCCTTCAATAATTGTGTGAATAATAAAATTGACTGACGGATTGTAATCGGGGAAGATGAAGAAAGATATTCTTGAAGACTGCATTCATATCTAAATAATTACAAAAAATTAAATTAGATAAAAATTTAAACTTTTAAAGATATTTAACACTTACTTCTTCATAATTAAGAATAAACTCATGTTTCTGCCTTCACCTTCAGAGTGAATCCTCTGCGGTAGAGCAGCCGGGTACAAATTAGTAGCATCTTGTAATTCAGGGACGAAATCAGTGAAAACTGAGTACATTGCGACGATGTTCGGGTGTGGTGGCAGATGTTTTTTACCATTAGACAAACTATAAATAAAAATGTTACTTTTCGTGTATTTTATGTTTGAATTAGTGAACTTACGCTAATTCCCAGTCAGTTATACCAACATTACTGAAATAGACTCGCGCAGGAATAGTTTCCTTGTACATAGCGCGCAGAATCGCCATGCCATTTGATTGGATGTCATAATTGAACATCATTTTGACAGCTAGAGGATAAGTAACATCTTGTTTTGCGGGTTGCGTTGTTGGAACACTACCAAAATGTCCTTCAGATACAATTTCTGTGATTTCTGAGTTGTTTTCATGATGTTGAGATGTAGTTTCAATGATTTCTGGTTCATTTTGTAATAATCTTGCTGTGTAAACCACTGCGTTAGCTCCTTTTCCAAGCACAGACCCAAAATCAAGGTTTTTTACACCTATTGCTTCCTCACTGTTGACAATTACTTCAGTATTTTGATAATGCCACTTAATTTTCGATACAGCTTCCTGTAAAATATTATTATTAGTTTTAAACATTGTTTTAATGAAGTTTAAATGATTCTTACTCGTATTTCCCAACATACACCTTCCAATTCTTCCTCCTTGGTCAAAATCCCAGCCCCAGATGCAAGACTAACGCCAACCAAAGCAAAAAAGTGACCGGAATCACCGAAGAGCATCCTCTTTGCGGCTTCTTTGCGTAGTTTTGCCGCTAGCGAGCTGGTCACGCGATTGAGGACGTTGTCGACGAGAATGCGGCGCGCATGAAGACCAACCTGCAGGCCTACGGAGCGTAGCGCAAAGGAGCGCGGCACCAGCTGCGCCTGCTGTACCTGACGCGCCGCATTTACGCGCTCGCCAATGTTGCTCGTATGAATGTCTCGCTTTGGGACGCCCGCGTGCCTGAAGTAGCACTGACCATGCCGGAATAAGCGCGAGGCGATCGCACGCAACGACATTTTACCCAACGCATGGAAGCGCCACGCCTGTGAAGGGTGGCTTCCGATACAAAAACGATTTACTTACTGAACGAAATACGTCGTAGAACTGATCTGACGGGGGTGTTTTCGTAAAGTACAAAATCCAATAGTCTAATTATGAAGCATGATGTCACCTTCTTGGCAACCAGACTCACAACACAAAGGTTTTTGACAGATTTTATTAATACAGAGTAAAATAAAAGCCTTAGAATAGGTTTATATGATGATAATTATAGCTAGGATTAAATATTTTATTATATCTAATCAAAACTTAATCATATATTCTAATATTTTAATCATTTTTCTAAATTTAAAAATCGAATTTTTTTGACATCTTCTTGGCCACCTGACGACACATTTGTGAACTATTTGACATTTGACATTGACACAAACGTCACAAATCATATGTTATTAAAACGTACACGCAAGTGTACCACAAATCGGACCAGATTTGCCCGATTTGAGCCGTAAAAAAAAACACGTCGCGCACACCACGCTCGAAATGCATAGTTAAACCCCAGCGCGAGTTGCTCCTTCCGACATGTGGCCCGCGCGCACGTTCTGCGACCGCATTGCCGCGTAATTATTAATTCCGTGAACGAACATTCAGCCTGCACGCCGATCACATTCCAATTACAGCGCAAAATGTCGCGAAACCGCAAGCCGACGAGTGCGACGGTGCGCCTCAAGCAGGATTACATGCGGATGAATCGCGACCCAGTGCCGTACATTACCGCTGAACCACTGCCTTCCAACATTCTAGAATGGTACATGAATTTTATTTTTTGTTTGTTTCTGATTAGTCTAACTTGTTTTATATGTTTTCACAGGCATTATGTAGTTTGTGGACCAGAAAACACCCCATATGAAGGTGGTTACTACCATGGCAAGCTAGTATTTCCGCGTGAGTTCCCCTTCAAGCCGCCGTCGATTTATATGATAACGCCCAGTGGCAGATTCAAGCCCAACACGCGTCTGTGCCTCAGTATTAGTGATTTTCACCCAGACAACTGGAATCCTGCATGGAGTGTGTCTACAATTCTCACTGGCCTATTAAGTTTTATGGTTAGTGTGCCACGGACATTATGAATATTTATCTTTCATTAACATGCATTTGATAAATTTAATGTATGCAACCCAAAATACACCTATGTAATCTTTGACTTTATCTTACAGAACGAAAAAAGTCCGACGGTTGGAAGTATAGAAACGACAGACTATCAAAAACGTCAACTTGCCTACCAATCACTAGAGTATAACATAAAAAACAATCAGTTTAAAGAGTTATTCCCTGAAATTACAACAATGATCGAGGTAGGCAATTTCTTATACACCAAAAAACAAAATGGCTGATTAATATAACCTGTTCTGTTTTATGTTTTAAAATTGTGTTTAGGAGGAATTAGCTCAGCGGAAACAGAATGAACCACCAGCACTGGATCCATCGCACACCGCACCAGGCACAAGTGAACAGTCGACATTACAAAGCTGCGTCGTGAACCTCGTCGTCTTCGTGGTGTTTGCATGTTTTGCATTTGTCGTCAAACACGTGATGGTCGCGTCAGCAGGTAACGCCACCGAGGACGCCATTTAACTTGTTGCATAAAGACAGAAAATAGCAAAAAGAAACGAGAAATATTGTGATAATCGACTTTGCTCGAGTTACCTAATGATGGGAGAAATATTACGCATATGAATGAATAATATAATTGCATGAGGGGCGGCCACCGCGCATGGTAAACAAATATTTTAAAGGGCAAACACGACTTTTCTAAAGAGTCGCTAATATAAGATTTTAAACCAAGAAATGAACTTGTACAAAGTTGTAAAAAGTGTGCATGCTGAGCATGATCAGATGGGGTAAAACAATATGTATATTCATGTAAAAAATATTAAAAAAAACACTTGGAAACACAACATGATAATTAGGATGATTCAAAATGGCGCATTTATAGATTTATTTCCACTGCAATCATTTAATTAAACTTTTATAAAACGGCAGGCACAGGGTACAATTACTTACGAATAACATAAGACTAGCGAGGCCTTCAGAGGCGATAAATTACTTGTGTGGATTTTAAAATTTTTGTATAAAACATGCGCAACGCTTAGTTTACTCGTACGATTGCTGACGGAACATGGCGGAAATCTCCTCGATGGTTTTATTCTTTGTTTCCGGTACTTTCTTGTAGATAAACACGACATTCAATGCAAGAATCACCGTGAAGATGATAAAAACCCACGGACCCAATGCTTCCTAAAGTTATTATTGTTATAAAAACATTTTTAATATAAAATAGTTCAAATTTTCACCTGTAGGGGTAAAAATCCAAGTCCGACGAAGAAATTCGCTGTCCAATTGATCGCCACAGCTAAACTAGTAGCCGCCGGACGTGCAGATTGATTAAAAAGCTCCGAAACCATAAACCATGGGATGCTGCCAGGTCCAGTCGCGAAGAGAATCACGAAAAGTAGTACAAGAATAATGCACAAGTAGCTTATCCACTTGGCAGTTGTCTGAAACATTATTACGTTCAATATATTGTACAATCTTTTAGTTATTGCTGAAAACTCACCGCGTAGAGCATAGCAAAAGTCAAACAGAGTGTAACAACAGTCATTCCAGCGAAACCAACGAGAAGCAAAGTTTTCCTGCCGGCTTTCTCAACTAATACAAGCGAAACAATCGTCATGAGCACATTGATTGAACCCATACCCATGGTTGCATACGATGCGCTGTCTTCTGTCAAACCCGCCATCATGAAAATCTTCGTCGAGAAGAACATGACAGCATTAATTCCGCTGAGTTGCTGCGCAATCATCAACATTAAACAAATAATCAGAGGAATACGCAGTGCACTGTTTGAAATCAGTTCTTTCATTGTGATTTTCGGTACGAGTTTCATCGCTTCATACTCGGATCGCATCTCGTCCATTTCCTCCTGGACTGAACCGCCATCTCGTAGCCATAACAATGCATTTTGTGCTTCGATTTCTTTTCCTTTGCCGATTAGGATGTGTTTTGGGGATTCCGGACAGAATGGTAAGGTAACCAACTGAAAGTTTTATTAAATTTAACTTATGATGTCATTTTTGATATGTTTTACGTACTTGGAAGATTGCTGGAACGACCGTGAGTGCTAACAATGTCGGCCATTGTGTTTCCGTTCCGAGAACGTCCTTCAAGCCGAGAATTTGTGCGACCAGAATGCTGATTGTGATCACAAGCTGGTAGACCGTGCCGACTGCACCGCGTAGATTCACAGGTGAGATTTCCGCTAAGTACATAGGTGCTAAACCTGCATTCAGGCCGGAATTAATACCGATGATGAATCTGCCGAGGATAATCATTTCGTAGGACGCAGCCGAACGTGCGGCTCCTTCCAAAATGGACGTGATGATTACCAAAACGTTATTTACTAGTAAGCCACCTTTACGTCCGAATGTATCAGCCACAAATCCTATGAAAACATTGTAATTTAATGTAAAATATTAATAATTTTATAATTTTTCATATTTACCGGTTAAAACACCGCCAATCATTCCACCAATGCAGAAAATGCTCACTGCAATCGACCAGATGATTGTAATCTGTGACTGGGGTGGCATTTCCCCGGTACGATTTGCGATTGTGGTTGATATCCATTCTTCGATGATTTTTTGTGGGTTGTTTAGCACTCCAGTGTTGTAACCGTGTTGGAAACTGGAGCCTAACGCGGCTGCTGTTATTGCGAATACCAACTTGGCATTGAAACCCTGAGAAACAATTAAAATGCAATCAGAAACACATTTATTGATTGTTGAGAATACTCTGTAGATGTGAATTATTTAAGTGTGGGTTATTATCAATTAATAATTGGTATTGATAAAGTATTATCGCGTGTTTTACGATTTACAGAATTTTTATTCTGTAACTTTTTTGGTGTAGTTTGGGTTGCGCACTTTTCTACAACTTTTCTAATTGTATAACCTTAAAAAAGCAACAACTTGCAGTAAGTTGTGCGTGAATTTTGTCATCATTAATCAGCAAAAGATAGGTAAAATATCATTTTATAACTATTTAGCAACAATATTTATCATTACAAGTGTGATTATAGTTGTAATTTGTTTATTATATCAAATATTCGCGGAATTCCAAACTTTTCCTCTGCTGATATTCTAATTATCTCTCTAACCTAATTAATTCACTTAAGTTCATATCAAAGAGGATGTGTTTATCATATGATAAACTCCAAACACAAAATTAATACAGCAATACATAATTAATTACCGTACTATCACTTAGTTGAACTTACTGTTTTATTTGATTCGTGAATATATTCATCGCCAGCCCAAACACGACTCGAACCACTACCGCCCCCACCGTCCCCGCCACTGGCGTCAGACTGATTCGCCTCTCGATACTTATTATTATTCATTATGCCAATTTAGCATCCAATTTAATTAAACAAACACGACAATATAAAAGTAATAAATATTAATTAATTTACAGAAATTTAAAATAGTTTATTGATAACTATTGGAAATTACGGGTCACGACTGCACTTCTTTTTTAATTTAAAACTAGAGACATAATTAAAACGACAAACACGTGACGGGACATAAACTAAACTTAGAACACGATCGACGAACACGCAGTGCATACAATAGCAGAGCATAAATTAGACTGATGTGAATTTCGAGCTGGGATTTTGGACTCTTTGTTATCATTCCAATTCGGCATGTTGTCATATTATCATTGATTTTTTCGCGAGAATATTGAGTTCGGTTGAGTGTGTGGTTGAGATTTTTCTAATTCCGCGTACAATTACGCAGATTATACATTAATGCAACATGAGTACGCACTTGAAATACTTGTTATTAGTGTTTTTATCTACTATATTCACGTAATAACAAAATAACAACATTATCTATCTGTTTTTCTCTTCGGAATATTATTTAATATTGTTTTATTGTATTATTAAATAAGTATAATACCCAACATTACTTATTAAATATTAAATAATTAACTAAATAGTTATTATCTCGTAATAACAAGTGTTGTTATACGTAGGAACAAAAAATAACAAGATATTGATATTAAAAATCAAGCAAATTGTACACATTTTGCCGTTTTATTGAGTTTATAGTTAAAATGAGGCTATACTATATTTCATTGCGTGATTTTAACATTTTTAATATTCCTAACTGCCCACGAGTTACTTCCGGTCGTCGTTTCCGCTCTTACATTGTATTCGCATGACTGCTTTCATTTATTCAAATACCTATGCAATGTCTACGTATTTCATGTGTGGGGTTTACGCATTACCACACATGCAATATATGTACACAACTATGTACATACTCTACCATACTACCATAAATACAAGTGGTATTCAGTGTTTGCTGTTAGCATTGAACGTAAGTTGATTGTATTTACATTCGTTTTATGCATATAGGCGATAGATACGAGTATGTTTTGCGCGCCGAGCGTTGATTGGCCAATGAAAGAAGGCACGACGCGCGTCACTCCAAGCGGTTACTAGTTGAAAGGTCATAAGATCATCGCGAACGTTTGATTTGTGTTAGGGGACAAGATTAGGCATATTGTGGTCAATAATGCAAACTGCATTAAAATTCACACGTAGGCATTTATTCCAATGTTGGAATTTAAAGTAAATTGTTGTGTGGTGTAAAATGTAAATCGTGTAAATCATGTGGTTTTGAAATTTGCAGTTGCATATTGTGTGGGATTTGAAATTCACCACAGGTTTGACGTCATATAATTTATTTATATGCAAGTGAGAATTAAATTATTCAATCATTTACTAGTAATTATGACTTTGCATTGTTTTTTTGTAGTAATAAACTGTGAAAATGATCTAATATTGAGGTATTCGATCATTATCTTTGATATCATACTTTGAGGGTAAATAACTCGGTCAATTTAAGTAGCACGTGATTGATTAAATTATCATTTTATAGATAATTTAATAGAGATTTGATGTGTTTAAAGACAAATGTATGGGAATTTTAGTTTTTGTTTTATAGTAAAAAAAGTGCAGGAATGCGATATTGTGGCAACAAGAGATAAAATCCTTATAACTCCAAAACTAATGGAGATAAACAATTAATTTTTATGTCATTGTATAGATATCAATGAAAACTATAATAAGCAATAACTGTAATTTCTATAATTTTGTTGATATTCTCAAGAATTATAAAAATATTGAAATTTTAACTTTAATTTAATTTTACCACAAAAATCGTGGAAAATTCATGAAAAATCTACCTCATAGTAAATTTCCGGTGATTAAATATACAAAAACATAAATTTCACACGTTTTTGTAGTTTTGATACGAGCAAATCATAAACTTTATTTATTTATTTTTCACTCATTGAATAAATATGTGTTATTTTAACTGCAAAAACCAAACAAAAAACATTACAATACTCTTATAGTACTTATTTACTTAGTTAACTATATAATTATTGATGATATTGTTTCAGATCAAGGTGTGTCCAAGGATAAACCATAAACATCAACATCATCAAGATGATCACACAGTGTACTCATAATTTTCCCAACAGTAAGTTGTTTATCTTTGCCTTCTGCCTTCTGTTTCACCTTTGTTTGCCATACGATTATACTCTTATATACTTTCACTCGCTCCATATTCTACGTTTCGTTTTTTATTGTTTTATATATATTTTTTACTGTACTGCTACCGCCACACGCGTAATTTATACGTTTGACAAACGAAATTGCATCTGATAACAAAACAAACACGTTTCACAACACGCGCGCAGCGACAGACAGAATTAAAGCATAATTAGAGAGCTACTACCTGTGTGTGAATAATTAATTTACGCTAACTTGTTAGTTACTATATTTAGTACGATGATTAATCCTAAGTAAATTACCTTTAAATTTCGTCCCATTTTATGATTTGATTTATGATTCGAACAGAAACTCAAACTTTTTTAAGCACACAATGTATAACTGCACTTTGGTGACACTGACAAAACAGTGGAAAAAGTTCCAACACAATTTAACGCAACAGGATTACGAATGTTTCAAACTCAAAGTGCTCAAAGTCAAACGGTGCCACAGTAGGCATGCTTGTGACATGGTTTTCCTTGAATTAAATAGACCACTGACAGTAGTCCGCGGTGTAGGAATGATTTTTTTATATCTATACGAAATGCACACTTTTGTTGATAGTTGCTTTGGAAATGCGTTGGCCTTCGCGCAAATATTCGCATTAACCAACTTTAACTATCATTTAAAACTTTTATATTTAGGTATTATATATTGTTAGTACTTATATAATTGACTTATTTATTTTTTAGACTTTTTTTTATTTATTTTTGAATTGTTGATATGTAAGCAGATCTCATTCGGCGTAGAAGTTAAAATTAAATCGCGGAAATACCGACGGCGAGAAAGCTCGAGAGGTAAGCGTGCGCTGCGACGACTCGCGCAGCAATAAACTGTGAACTGCGTTGTGCATTTACCAGAGTCCACCAACCGCAGCAAATGCGACGAAAGGGAACCATGTCGCCGACGCAGACCACAAAAAGACAACAAAAAAGATATCATGAAGTTCATCAGCGTTCTTTTCGTTCTACTGAATTAAATTTGTTTTAAATCTAGGGTTAAATTCTCACAACCATAGGCAACCAACAATACTCAACTTTCGACTGAAGTTAAACTTCTTTAATATATTTTGTTTCTTGGAAATTTTGTGATTTATTTTTTAATTTTTAATAATCCAAGGTAAGAGATTGTTTCTTAAAACGTGAAATTTTGTTATGGTTAATTAAAATAACGGTTTTCTTTGTAGATTACTTTAAAAATCATCAAAACTTAACAGAACACAAAGTGAGGTTAGTTTAACCTACGACGTGTTTGGTTAAACTTGCATCTGACAGGTTTCAAGTAAGTATAAGGCGTTAAAATCGATTTAAGTCCAAATACAAAGTAAAAAGTCGATAAAATCGGTAATGTGGGTGATGTAGTAGTGGGTAACTCCAATATAATAAAGGTTTTTAAACGCGTGGGTAAACAATATTGACGTTTCTAAAGCCTTGCAAAAGACAGTCAACGACGAGGTTTCAAGAGAGTAAGCTCGTATGTTACACCTACACAAACCACACACGTCCTACACAAACATTTCTACAAGAATACACTAAGAATACACTAAGAATAATGCGAAACTAAGACTGGAAAGACCAGTTTAAGGAGATCTCCATCGTGTTTGTCTTCTCCATGCTATTTTAGAGCTTCAATAGTTTAAATAAGCAGATGATATTGTAAGTATTGGTTATTTTCTTTTTTTTTGTTTATGTCTTCTCTCATCGCCCAATGCTTATTTACTATTTTACTATCGCATTGAGTATCGTAAAAACGAGTATCTAAAGCGTTATTGAGTTCAAGTCCAAAAATACGACTTAATCAAGCGTGGGCGTACGCAACATCTGCTTTCTTTACTGTTACTGATCTCTGCTCTGTTTCTCTGTGTTTTGTACTCAATTCGAGTAATATCAACTTTCTTTATTTTTATTTATCATCCATGATTTTAATTCCTACTCAATATTAATCTATCGCAATATATTTCATATTTTGTTGTGCGTTTCCGTTCCAACTATCAACTTGTTGCTAGCAGCTTCTCGCTGGTGCGTGTGGAAAAATGTAGTTATTACTGGTAATTGACTGAAGGGTCATTGACGCGTATTGGACGCGCTGGATGGTCAGCGCTACTCATCCGAAACTTTAGACTTTACGCATTACTCATGCGTGCATATTATCTAATAGGAACTGTGTATTGGATACAGGGTCAAACCCAACGACCAAAAGATAAATTTATTCAAGTCGAGTAGAGAGTTCTATGATAGCAGCTGGGTGTACTTTGAGTTTAATGACGTCAATCAATTTAGTAAGAATTAAGTATTGTAATACATGCATCTAGAAATTTATCATATGGTAATCATAAAATTATCGCTTTAATTGATGTCACTTTGCACTCGCTGGTTGTCACACAGTCGAATATATCAGTTGGGAATTATTTTGAAAGGTCAATAACAAGTTTTTGGTATTAACAAAGAGTTCCGTTTATGTTTGAAAAGCATTTTGTTTGACTAATTTATTGTCAAGATAAGATATTTTGGTTAAAAGTATGTTAAATTTATACCAGATGTCAAGTTATCATTGAAAATATTAATTTTTTAATGAAATTTGATTTTGGGAGAGCAAAACACGCATTAATTTTTGGATTAAGCGTCAAATTCAAATGAAAAACTCAACAGTGACGTCACTTTTCCAATCTGGCTTTATACAGTAACTTTTTCTATAAATTAAACTAAAAATTTGCATATAATATATACACTTTGTATATAATTGTAAAACATGTGCAAAAAAAACATACTATGTTTCACTTTCTATGCCCGAGGCAATACTCCAGTCTCTTTTTCATTTTGCGCGTGTGAAATTTCAATTTTAACCGCAGAAGCAAGTATAATTTACGTACTAGTACAATTTTAGTATAAAAACGCAGAAACACATGCAAAATACTTACTGTTTTGGTAGTTTTTTGCGTTTTCACTTGACTTTCCAATTCGACAACTTGTGTAGTACCTTTTTTATTTGTATCTTCGGTGATTTTCGGAATATCTTCATTTTTTGACTGATAAAAAACACAAATAGTTGTAAAACGCAACATTGTTAGTACAAAACTTACCGGTTTTTCTTCATTTTGCTCCTTTTCCATGATGGATAATTAATTTTTGCTGATTTTATTCAAAAAATTAGAGTATTAGTTGTTTAGTGTGGAAATATCGATTGAATTGCCACGTGGAATGTAACATAACCTCACTTCACAAAACCGATTTTTATATAAACAGTTATTATATTTTAATTTATTAGTTAAAAACTATCGTTAGTAATATGTTAATGAAATTTTACTTCTCGTAACTTATACGTAAGAGACACACCTCCAAAACTCGTCCTATTACCTGACTTTACGCTTTGATTTTATCTTTTACGGCTTAGCGCCTTGTCGGCTGCTAATTCTCAGAATTTCGTCTGTGTTCCAACTGGAATATTCCAGCGACCGTTTTTATTTTTTTCATATGTTACGTCTGCGCCGACTGTTTTTTGTCTGGTCTACACGTTTTTGTTTAAACCGTTGTATATACGTGACCGGGCACAGGTAGACGAAGCACCGCAAGCTCCACGCGTAGACTAGACTCCCCAAACATCCCTTCGCGTGTATTTAAACGTGGTAATCGCAGACGCACAGGAAGTAAACAAGGACGGTGGATAGGATGTGATTTATTTGAGAAACAGAGACGGTTAGTGGAGGCGCATCGATCCGTTTTGTACGCGAGCGCGTTTTTGGGGTGTGTGTGTGTGTGTTGCGCGGCGAAGGTCAGGCGAGGGCTCGTCTTAAAACTCGAATTTTCATTGGTCTATTGAAGCGGGTGTGTGTGGAAGTCATAAAATATGTGAGAATAGGAATTTTTGAAATAATTTGTTTGGAATTTCGTAAAGTTCAGTTTGTCTACGGCAAGTCAAAGGTTGAAGTAATTTAGAAGTTGTTAGTGTTGCCTACATTTCATTAAATATAAATTTGTGGAGTAATCTTGTCGTTTTGGGTGAATTTGAGTCCAAATTATACTGGATTATTATTATTTTGCTAAAAATTGCAGAATTTTTAAACAAAAAGTAGTTTTTTGCAGTTTTTGAGTAATAATTTCTATATTAATGTTTCTATTGGCTTAAAACTTGTCTTAAAATATAGATAATTAAATTCTTTGTGAAATTGCGTTTTCAATTTGAAGTATTTCTCTGAGAAAATGCGTTTTTACTTACTTTTAACGATGACAACCTTGTATATTCCGGAACTTTTGTCGTTAAAGTATCACTGCAATAAATCGGCGCATCCATATCCGACAAATTGGAAGAAACACTACTCCCTCGCATATTTCTATCAGGCACTTGCAAAAAATTCATTTCTCGTTCTCGTCCCTCAAACTCTCGACTCGGAGTCGCTAAGAAATGATTAGGACGAAACAAACCAACCGCTTCGTCATCGTCCTTATCCATTTCAAAATGTACTACAACAAATTGCAATTTAAATCAATTCATTTTATTCATTTAATTAATTTATTTACCTCGTTTAATATTGAATTATTAACTTGACTTTAGTATAATTGACGTGATTTAAATTGATTCAATCGAATCAAAGTAGGTACTGAATGATGACTGAAATGACCGAGTGACCCTTCAAAGGCGCACGAGAACAACGGAACGATAAACACGCAGTTTAGTAAACATGAATCAGATTAAAAGGCGCTTAACGCAGGTAAATTTAGCGCAAACTTGAGGATGATTCTATTTTTATGTGCTATTCATATATTTTCAAGGCAGGTTTTATTGTAGGCAACTTTCTTTGCATTTTTCTTAGAGTTTATAGTAGAAAACGTGTATAACGCGACATCTGCGGTTTATTTAGAGAAGTTTTAAGTTGTACACTGTGGATATTAACAAAATAGGTATATTAAAAAGAAATTTGCTCATAGATGGCGCAATATGTCTCAAAAATAGCCAAAATATTTATTTTTATCGCGTGTTGTTGCATTTTTTGACCTTAATTCATGAAATTTGATAATTTTTTATAAGATTTTACATAAAATAGTTAAAATTCGTGATGAAAATATAAAATTTTGTGAATTGTGGGGGTTGTAGTAGATAGTAGACGTGTTCATGCCGGTTGGCGGCGGGTAAAACGCGCGAGGGGGGCAGGAGGCGGCAGGCGTAGTAGCGTCCGATCGATGCGCGCCGCGCTCGCGTGGTATGGTATGGGGAGGGCACATGCGTGCCCGCCGCCGCTGCCGTCGCCGCCACGGAACGCAAACCTTTCCCGTGCGTCGCCGCAGCCATTCCGACACACAACCGAATCGCAATCGGCTGGTTAATCATCGTCCATCGGCGCGGATTGTGGGCCGTTCGATCGGCGCTAATTGAGTGGTGCGTGAATCTCGCCGCCGACGGACGCCGTGTGCATCGGGTCGCATCTTGCGGAAGCGGCGCGGGTGGCGACCACCGCCAAGGTTGTTGAACTCGCTCGTATACGCGGCGAGAGCGCGCGCGAAGGGGGTAGCAGTCGTGTGCAAACCGCCGGGGCGCGTAGATATGTCGTGTTAGAAAGTTTCGACTAGATTCGAACGATCGAACGTGAACGCAGCGACAAAAACACAAAAGAAGCGAAATTGTGTGTGTGGCGCGGCGCGGCGCAGTGGTGGAGTCGTAAATGTTTGGGGATTATGTGGAAGGATGCGTGTGCGGACCGAGGCTAATCATGTTGTTGTTGAATGATAAAAGCTGGTAGTGATGTGCGCTTCGAGCGGCGGAGGCGGCGCAGGCGGCGGCACTTGCCGCCGCGCGCGTACCCTGATGGCGACGGCGACGGTTATGATAGTGCTGTCCCTAACGATAACGACCGCACGCGCCGAAAAGAGCAAATACTGTAAGTTGCAATATCTTTTTACACGCATAACCTAATCTATAAATATTTATACTATGCAACCAAACATACACAGTTTATAAATTTCTTTAGCTTTAGTTAGAAACATAAATAATCATAGTCCGAGTGTGTGAATTTCCCATGAATTCGCAACCGTTGACAATGTAAACTGTTAAAAATAACACATGTCCAAACATTTTGCTAGTTTGTTAGTTTTTAGTGCATGAGTGGCCGAAAATATTTCGCCTTTTCAATTTCCTGTAGCCGGTCGCGTTACAGCCGCTTTCATTGCGCTCTGAAGTCTGATCCGGATCCGCATTGCCCTCGAGACTGGAGAGCTGGAGTTTTGTGCTGTGGGGTGGTGTAGACTTCACAGACGTTCAGACTCCGCCAGGCGGCTATCGGTTATCGCAGTGCAATGTAGTTGACACCAACTAGATTTCGTTTTTTTCGGCAATTTCTTCGGTTTTATATTGCCAGACGTCTGAAAAAGTAATAATACAAGTCGTTTTGTGGTTTGGGCTTCGAGGAGTTGGAGTGTATGTGTGTATTTTAATCGATTTGGACGTCTGAACATTACAAATGATATAAATCAGTTGATTTTTTGAGTTTTTGTCGTTTTTGAGAAGATCCTGAAGACATATTTGGCGGTTTTTAGGAAGAATTGAAGGATTGAAGGATTCTATAGATTATTATCTATCAAATGAGACATTTTTGTACTCTATATTGATGATAGAAATGAGTTTGACCAAAAAATCTACAAAATTTTCCCCGAATTTTTCTTTTTTGTTGATTTTTAGTTATTTTTTCTTATCCTTCTTATTTTATAATGCTTGGAATTACAAACGTTCATCATTTACTCATGATTTCTTCAAAAAATGTATTTTCTAATGACAATTTACTTAATTCTTACCAACTTTACACCCCCGAGATATAACCACACAAAAACGATTCTCATTCACCTCAAAAACTAACTTTTCTTAGATTTTTTGCTAATTTCCAACAAAAAACCTGACTTTCCTAGTGATAATTTGCTGGGATTCTGGCACCTAAATGATTGTCGCCAAATTTGCGCGTAAGTTTTCGCCTCTCCGAGCGAAAAGTTGTCGTCTTGAAAGTCTCATTACGCTCGCGAGATATGAAAATGAAAAATGCGCATCGTTTATATCCGTAGTCGTAGCTGACACGTCCGAAAACTCGCTTTACTCTCTTGACTTTCTAAAGAAACCACCAGGTTTTTAAAGAGCAAGAGGTCGGAACTAAAATGTGAAAATATAGTATTACACAAAAGAAAATAAAAAAAAAACACAAAAACCGCGACTTTTTTTATACTTTCACATAGAAAACTTTTTAAAATATTTTTTTCTTGATACCAACTTAAACATTTCAAGTTTTTAATTTATTTTGTTATAATCTGACAGTTGAAGTCGTGTAAAACATGATTTATCGATTGTTAAGCGTTTCGAAACTCTCCGACGACGACTTTCCCGGCGGCGTGTTTTCGGGGGTGGTGTAAACATATGCACTCGCCTAGCATATGCGCACCACCACTGCCGCCGCCACCATCACCGCCGTCGATCGTTACGCGTTCTACGTTCCAATCCTCATTTATCTTATTTGACGTGCAGCGCACCCCCTGCCCCGCACCTTCGGCCGCCCTTCCGACCGGGCGGCCCATTGTCACACCATTGTCTCTGACATGTTACTTCCGCACGGCGCGCACGCATGCAACAACCCCTTGGAACTTAACCCTCGACTCGACGACAGCACTACCCACCCTATCGATAGTTGGATATTAGATAATAATTATGGCAATGGAAATTTACTACCAGGTAGATATTAAGGTAGACTAAGTGAGGGAATAAGAATCATATAATTTTCCGGTTTTCCGGGTTTAAATATTTATTGTATTTTCTTGTTTTCCGGTTTTGAATATTTACTACACTTTCTAGTTTTGAATAATTTTAATCTTATTAAGTTATAAACTGGTGACGATAAATATTTGCTGTCATTTGAAAAATTCCGAAAAGGTATATTTCCGGTTTGGAGCGGAAAGCGATGGAGCATTCGGTGCGGTTGATTTATTACGCGTGCGTTTTTGGGTTAATGTGTGCACGTAACGAAATTGTCTGGATAAATAAGAAAGCGGAAAACGCGAGCATGTTGCAAAAAGCGGAGACACGCCGGCGAATGTGGCGCGACGCCACCACCGCCGCATGCATGTGTGTGGGGAGTCGAGCGCATTGGGGGGATGGGAAATTGCCGGCGGTGTGGAAGAAAAAGCCTGGAACAACAAAAGCGTCTGGAGCGACGAACGACAAAAGACGAATAACGCCGCGTCACGGGCTAATAGATTACCGCGTGGCGAGTAAGAAAATTGCCAACAATTTTCCCTTTTTAGTTATTCACCCAAACCGCCGGAATTGCAATTTGCAATTTTCCCAACGAAAATTTTCAACATTTAAGTAAATTTATATTTAAAGTTTAAAAAACGTGAAATATTTATTAAAATTGAAGTTAATACGATTTTAATGCGCTTCGGCTGCATCATTAAGTGTACATCGCTCTTTTTGCAATCGATGGCTTTCATTTTCCCACATTTTCCGAGTGAAGAGCGCGTCAGAGAAGTTTAATGCGCGACGCCATTAAATTTAAATGTATTATGCATAAATGCATTGTGGATTTTAACTTTTCACAGCGCGGCCATTTTGTGTTTTGTGCTTGACATGGCTATATGTTTGTGAATAGACAACATTTTCGATTGGCGTTGGTTTTAGGCGATTGTGAACTGTAGTGAACAGCGGGGGCGGTGGAATATTTAGTTTTATCGACGTTTTTATTGTTGGTTTTGTTGGTGTCGACAGGACGAAACGTCGAATCGTGAAACAAACAACACGAAATGTTTTTGGCCGGAAATGATTTATTACTTTTATCCGCTAGATGTCGCCACAGTGTTTTTCGTAAAAATAGTTTTAGGAAGATACACATTAGACATGAATATTTTTCATTTAATATAAATTACAGTTGTGAAGTTTAAAATAAAATTAAAACAAACATCGCGGTTAAAAAGTTAAGCAGAAAACTTTTAATCGCGTTTTCCCACCCTTTTCCCTCGCGACGCGCGCGTTGAAAGTTTTGATAAGTTTTCAGGCTCATTCCGCGCGGGTGGAAATATTGTTAATATTTAATGTTTTCATTTTCGTTTATTTTTCCGTGCTTCTTCGTGTTAGCGAAACTTGGGCGCGCATTAAAAAGCGAAATTTATGACTAAACCTACACTTCACTTCACTCAAACTAGCAATTAACACTTTTTAACTCGTTTCCGAACCGAGCAACTCGTTACGGCCACTTGTCACTTTATTGCGTGAATAACTATTTACATTTAATTTAATTTTAAATGTTTTAATTAGATTTATTCGGGAATGGACGCGTTGAATTCCTGAGAGTGAATTTGTGTCAATGTAATTTATTAATAAGTTTAAAACTGAATACGTTGGATTAATAATTGGATTATTAATTGATTAATTATTAAATTCTACATCTATTAATACGGGGAATAATGATTATAGAGCTTTAAATTAATATTTACAGCGTAATTAATGATTTTTTAATTTTTTAAAAGTTTTTTGTATTTAGTTGTTATTAACTCGGTAAATAATTAATTTATTTACTTGTAATTAGTTTTGATTGATGTAGAATTTAATTGAGAATAGAATATTAAAGAAATAATTAATTTACCTTAATTAGTTTTTGAGTTATTAACAAAAAACTACCAAATTTCATGATTTT